TGCCTTCAGAATGATTTGAAATGGTATTCAAAAGCAGGAGTTCAGATCTTAAGAGTTGATACTGGTCATCTATGATATAAAGTAGAAAGCTTCACAGCACACTTTAATGTCTGGGCAGACATCAACCGGCGTCAAACATTGAAGACATGTGATATAAAGCTCAGCACAGCTGAAAAAGCTGGTCAGCTGTTTTATTTCTCTAATAGATTATGAAGTTATAGCTCATCTGTTTACTGTTGTCAAGATTTTATTCTGATCCATCTGAGAAAATATATAGATTTATTGAGGGTTGACTTCTCCATCATTTCTTGAATGTCTAAACAGCATTCTTTTTATCTACACCCTCTGTGAGGTCTGTTCTGCATCTCTCACAGTAGTGTGAAATGGTAAGTGTTGGTCTATTGACTGCAGATAGCAGTGTTCTCAACTGCTGAATCTTGATCTTTAAACACTGCTGAGTTCTAGCCCCTCTTTCTTGTGTGATTATTGAAGATGTTATCTGTGAAATCAGTGAGTGCTTCTCATCCACCATCTGAAGCCTTGTCGCGAATCGCATTTTGGCCTCCTCCAGAGCTACCATTGCTGATGAGAGTCCAGCATCTCAGTATAGAGTTGCAATGGGTGTTGTACAGAAAACTGGAAGGACTTCTCTGACTGTCATAGTAAGCATCTTCTCAACTGTCCCCACATGTAATTTCAGACAGGAGCTAACCTCCCCACTTCTGCTCATGTGCCTTGCTGACTGTGTGCAGCTACCGTACCAAATCTCTGTGCTATAGAGCAGTGAAAGAACCACACAGATGATGATTGCTTTCTGTAAAGTATTTGCTGAGAGTCTGTCTCTGATCTTTCTCAGACTCTGAATATGCTGAATGAAGACATGTGATCTTCAGATGAGCCTTCTGTTGAAATGTACATTCAATTAGCAAAGTGCTGACTTCTGTTCAACTAAGGCAGTAACAGAGTGAACAGTGAGATTCTTAGACACAATTACTGCTGATGCCTCATTGTATCATTTTTTTGTAAGATAAATCATCTCAAATTTCTCTGATGTGAAGGCCATCTTGTTTATCTCCTCTCATCTCAGAATACTCTGTATATTCTGACTGAAGGGTGGCATTGTTGTTAAATGAATGGGTCATCTATCAGATGTTCAGATCATCTGCATAGTCAAAGTGCAATTCTGAGTTTTACCACAGCAGCTTTGCCAGGTACAGAAGAAACAGGATTGATGATAAAAAAGATCTCTATAGCATGTCACATTGCATCTGATATGCTGCTGTGATGATCCCCTCCAGCTGAATCTGAGCTTTGTATTCAGTGAAGAAACTGTCAATGAGCTGTAGCAGCTCATGTAGCCACCTCTGCTACATCATTTGCTGAAGCAGCTGTCTGCACAGCACAGCATCAAAGGCACTGTAAGAGATGGGCTACAAGAGTAATTACAAGAGTAGTGTGAAGTACGCACAAAGGATATTAGAAAGGTAGCAATCTCTATTGTTCAAAGCTAATCGCTGATCTCCTCAAATCCACGGATATCAGCGAGCATTATATAGATAATATTGCCATCGCCACGTATCTATCGCCACGTATCTATCGCCACGTATCTATTTCCTAATATAGATATCTCCGTTGCGCCTATTACAGGCACTCTGCACATTCATTGTGATCATGGACACTTCCTTGTTTTGTGCGAAGGCTGCCTCCACTTCATGAGTGAAAGCAGCTATCAGATTCATTGCAGATTGTCTGAGCAGCACCTCTTCATGCTGTGAACTGACTATGCTGTGAATGAATGCTGTGTACATCAATCAACTTACAATGATGCATTTCAGCCCTTTGGAGATTACTGAAAGAAGGGTAATGAGCTTTCAAAAGCAGACTGAGCTTCTATCCCTCTTATCTATTTTGAATATCATTGCTATCTCTGCTAGTTTCCAGGCTCATAGGAAGTGGCAGAGCTGGAGGCAGCAGTTGTATAGCTGCTGTATAAAGAGAGATATATGCTGTCAGCATGCTTTGAGCATTCACACTGTGATTCCATCTGTGCCTGGGGAGGTGCTCTGTACCTCAATGATGTTGCGCTCCATCTCCTCCATCTTAATCCGGAGGTTCCAGAGCAGGTTCCCCATGCTGTTTCAGTGCTCATCATTCAATGAATTATACTTCAGATCATCAGCTGAGTTGTATCACTTCAGAATTGTTTGTTGAAGTGTCTCAACTTTGTTGCTGTCTCTTCTATGATCTGTACAGATCTCTACCATCTCTGACTTCATTGATTATTTGCTTTCAGTATGCATGCTTGATCTTGTGCACTGTGTTTTTGAACTGATGCTTCGCAGCTTCTATCTGATGAGTGATGAGCTCTCAGTGCACTCTTCAGCAGGCGCCCCTCCGGAGCTCACCATGCCACGGCATGCCCTTCACCGCTGGCTCGCACTCCGCTCCTCTCATGGGGACTTCTCCTGGTACCACAGGCGTTTCCAGCATGCAGATGCGAGGCTCACCTGTGTTTGTGGACACAACAAGAGCCCAGAACATTTGGTGCTCTGTCGACACTCACAGAGGCACTTTCTTCACTGGCCCAAGAGGCCAGCAGCACGGCCACACAACCGGGCGACAGCTGTTGCCTATCTAGGGTCTCTGACCCCTACAGACTTTGTAGAACTGCTGGACTGCACGCAGTTCTACACACGGTACTGCACAAGGTAACGCAGCCGGCTGGCTGCAAACCATCTGACAACCCCCGCAGCAGTTCCACGAGGCCGGCCTGCTGAGTACACCCACGGTAGCTAGTGCAACTGCCAGGGACATCACAGTCTATGCAGACAGTACAGATAGCACAACTAGGCTCATCTGTCTCAATTAGCTGTGGTGTAATCAGTGCAGTCTACGTGTCTGACTCAGCTGATATGGTTTTGACTGCCGGCATTGTATCTACGCGTGCTCTGCTTTGTTTTCCTCTCGTTTGCCCTTGTCTCTATCGGCTCAAATGCTTCTTCTTCCTTCTTTTCTTTGCTCTCTCTGTCATTCTCTGCTCGTTTCCTTTCACAACCTTCTTCAGTGCTCTCTCCTTCATTATTTATCTTGTCTGTCTTTCTTCTGATGTTAGAAGCACAGACAGCTTTCTGATCAACTGAGAGAGGTATCCCTCTCTGCTCACTATAAAGCCTTCCAGGCACGGCAGCGGCGGTCCCCTCAGGGAACCACACTATAGCCCCACCATGAATGGCCATACGTCGGGCCAGAAGTGGATGCGCAGCTCAGAAAAATCCTTTGCAATGAGCTGAGTCTTCTCAAGAGTTGCCACCTGGATTCTGTTTTCTCTCTCTGTGTACATAGAAATCTCTCCAGCGTAGCACGTCTCCATGCCCTTCGGGAGGCTTCTGAAACACGGGCGCTGCCCGTGTTTTCTCCGGGACGTTAAACCTATACATACATACATACATTCAGCAGTTTGCTGTTCATCAGCTGATTTACTGACTGTCTGAGCTGCAGTCAGAAGACTCTGAGTGAAGTGCTGAATCAGATCATTAAACTATGCCACATTTTCAACCCTCTCTGAGCAAAGCATGTTCATCATAAAACCTCTGACAAGATCTGCAAAGAGCTTCAGCTGAGAGTCTGTGATCTTGATCTGAGCATCACTCAACTGTGTCTGAGATGTTGCTGATAATATAATGATCATAGACTGATGATCTGAGCTGCAGTGTAAATCTTGACACACTGTAGTGGAAGTAAAGACTACATTGAAGAAGATGAGATCAATCACATGATCTGCTGCATGAATTGGAACCCCTATCTCTCCCACAAAGTCCATCCCATGTTCACTGGCCCATTGGACAAGCTCCCCGCCCCGGTGCAGATTCACTGCCCCTGGTTCAAAGGCATCATGCTGTACATTGATATCCCCACCTATCAGACAGCGGGCTGGTGGGCTCAGATTGGTCAATAGTCCATGACTGCGTCTGTCTCAGACTGTCTGTACACATTGAGAATGTGGTAGCCATTTACACTGATTCACAGCAAATCTCTGTTTTACATAGACTGATGTTGCTGTGCTCTTGTCTTTGAAACTCTTGTGTATATATGTCATGACCCGAGGCCTCTCCTCCTCATACTGCTCCAGGTTAGTGTCATCTCAGCAGTCTATAGACACAAAACACTCATACACTGAGTGATTAGAAGTTTTAATGCCAGGGTGTGTGTATGGCTTCTGTATACAGATCACTTCACAGCTCTGTTTGAAAGCAAGCTGTAGAGCTGCTGTGTGATAGAGAGCTGCTCTGATTGTATTTGTTCAGAAGATCTGCAGAGAGTGATTTTTCTGCAGATTGTTTCTGCAGTATCAGTCATGTTGCTAGTGTTGATATTCTAATATGAGAAGTTATTTGATGAGCTGCTGCTGAAGTTCATTTATGAGATGAGATTGAAGAGCTTCAGATCTGCCATCTGCATGCTGAAGTCAGACTGTTCTTTAACTGCTTGACTGTGTTACCACACTGCTGTGCAAGCTGAGTGTTGTTTGATGCAGGCCATCTGCCAGATGGCATCCTTCTCATTGATGGAATTCTGAGTAACTGCCCACTTGCAGAGTGCTAGCTCAGTGAGCTGTGTTGACTGAGTTGACTGAATGATCGATGTAGATACCACCACTGTGATCATTGATGCTGACTGTGCTGATGATGATTGCTGCTTCTGAGCATCCCTGTAGCACCTGTCGCCAAGGCGGTGAACAGCTGCTAGCTCCTTTTGAGTTAGGCGTCTGAGGATGTCATTCACATGCCTGGGTGTGGCAGAGCAATGCTGATGCTCAGCTGGGTAGAGTTGACAGCAGTTGACACATTGTGGCGCTCTCTTGCACTCCACATCTGTTGGCCCCATCCTTACAACTACCCACGAACGTAGGGGTACATTTGAATTTTCCACTTTTCCAACTGTTTTCATATAATTTTAACCCCCCCAACCCGTTCAATATCATCGCATGCCCTCTGCGATTTCTCTACGTGTGTGTACTGCACAGGTTGAGTGGTCATGGAGCCCTCAACGCCCTCCCGTCCGCCCAAGGACATCGACACGGCCTACACCAGGCCACTGGAGCCGGAGTCACCGGCCAATTTTGTCACTGAAAAGGCTGGCAAGAGGCAGAGGAAGACTGTCACAATGCCTCCCCCAGTCCTCAAAGGAGCCAGCGACAGCATCCCCACAGCCACCTCTCGGCTGCAGAAGCAGTTTGAGGAGGCTCAGCAGCAACAGAATCTGCAGCAGAAGACTCTCATCAAATTGGCGAAGACTCTGGACAGCTGAGTTGACAAGGAGAAGCAGTCAGTCAGTCAGAACTTTGCCCGAATCTTCTGTGAGAGGTTTGTCAAGTATGTGACAGCAGATCTGAGTGCAGCATCATTTCTGAGAGAGGGTGCTGCCCCGAATATTCATCCGCAGCCAAATGCACCAAAGACAGCTGTGAGGGAGCCGACTACCTGGGCGGGTGTTGCTCAGAGGGGGGAAAACTCTGCCCTCCCTGGGGTTACCCCTGCCAAGACTGCGGCTTCCCCAGCAGGCAGGGCTAGTGGAGCTAGCCTGCAGCCCAAAAGCACCAGTCAGCCAAGGGGCCCCACAGGGGGCACAAAACAGCAGGAGGACCCATGAGTCCTTGTCACCCTCCAGCCAGAGAAATGGGTCGCCCGGCTACAGCCATATGCTGTGCGGCAGGCAATCGTTGCAAACATTCAGGGGGTGGGGGATGTGGCCAATGTGCCGAAGGTGGAGCCCACCAGGACAGATTGGGTGATCACATCAAGCAACAGAGGCATACGCGACACTCTGACCACTGAGAAGGCAGTGGCTACTCTCTGTGAAGTCCTTGGCGCCACAGAGATCCGGCTACCAGAGCGGTGGTACAATTATACTGTCCCAGGGGTCCCAGAATTTGTCCAGGACTGGGAAGGGGCAAGAATCCCCACAGACAAGATGATTGAGGGAGAGGTTCTGACTCAGGCAAAGGTAAAGTCAGTGAGCTGTCGACCCTCGCGTCATGGGGTGAACCCCAAGACAGGGAAGATTACATGGATTGTCTCCCTCCCTGCCCCGGTAAAAGGCTTCTCACTCTTCAATGCCAGTGAGAGGGCCAGGCTGATTGAGAAAAGGCCTTTGGCAGTGAGACATAACCCAGGATGCCAGGGGTTCTGCCACCCACCAAAGTGTGCACAACTGGCAAGATGCTCCAACTGCAGTGAGCCCACAAGCCAGCATGAGGGGCCAACAGGCGCGGAGTGCAAGAGAGCGCCAAGATGTGTCAACTGCTGCCAACCCTACCCAGCTGAGCATCAGCACTGCCCTGCCGCACCCAGGTGTGTGAATGGCATCCTCAGGCGCCTAACTCAAAAAGAGCTAGCAGCTGTTCACCACCTTGGTGACAGGTGCCACAGGGATGCTCAGGAGCGACAACCACCGCCAGCACAGCCAGCATCAATTGGTCGCAGTGGTGGTACCTACATCAACCACTCAGTCAACCCAGTCAACACAGCCCGCTGGGCTAGCGCCCCGCAAGTGGGCGGCTACTCAGAGTTCCATCAGTGAAAAGGGTGCCACCTGGCAGATGGCCCGCACCAGGCGACACTCAGCTTGCACAGCAGTGCAGCAGCACAGTCAAGCAGCTAAAGAACAGTCTGACTCCAGCATGCAGACGGCAGGTCTGGAGGCCTTCAACCTCATCCCGCAGGTGGACTTCGGCAGCAGCTCACCAAGTGACTCCTCATGCTAGAACATCAACACCAGCGACGCGGCTGGCGCCGCAGGAACAACCAGCAGGAAAATCGCCCCCTGCAGATCTTCTGGGCAAATACAGCCAGAGCAGCCCTCTGTCACACAGCAGCTCTGCAGCTTGCTTTCAAGCAGAGCTGTGAAGTGATCTGTATACAGAAGCTATACACACACCCTGACATCAAGACTTCTAACCACCCAGTGTATGAGTGCTTTGCACCTATAGACCGCTGGGATGACACTAACCCGGAGCAGTGAGAGGAGGAGAGGCCCCGGGTCATGACATATGTATGCAAGGGCTTAAAGACAAGAGCACAGCAACACCGGTCTGTGCAAAGCAGGGATCTGCTATGAGTCAGTGTGTAAATGGCTGCCACATTCTCAATGTGTACAGACAGTCTGAGACAGACGCAGTCATGGACTATTGACCAATCTGAGCCCACCAGCCCGCTGTCTGATAGGTGGGGATATCAATGTACAGCATGATGCCTTTGAACCAGGGGCAGTGAATCTGCACCGGGGCGGGGAGCTTGTCCAATGGGCCAATGAACATGGGATGGACTTTGTGGGAGAGATAGGGGTTCCAATTCATGCAGCAGATCATGTGATTGATCTCACCTTCTCCAATGTGGTCTTTACTTCCACTACAGTGCATCAAGATTTACACTGCAGCTCAGATCACCAGTCTATGGTCACTATGCTGTCAACAACACCTCAAACACAGCTGAGTGATGCTCAGATCAAGATCACAGACTCTCAGCTGGAGCCCTTTGCAGATCTTATCAGAGGTCTCATGGTGGACATGCCTTGCTCAGAGGGGGTTGGAAATGTGGCACAGCTTGATGATCTGACCCAGCACTTCACTCAGAGTCTTCTGGCTGCAGCTCAGGCAGTCAGTAAGCCAGCTCAACAAGAGCGGACCACAGCCCTCTGGTGGACAGCAGACTGCCGAAGAGCGCACCGAGAGCTCACCACTCATCAGACAGAGGCCGCGAAGCACCAGTTCAAGGACACAGTGCGCAAGGCCAAGTGTGCATACTGGAGGCAGGTGATCAATGAGGCCAGAGATGGTAGAGACCTGTACTGGGTGGTGGCATGACATAAGCTGGAACCCAACCTCAGAGCGCCCCCTCTGGTGATTGAGGATCAGATCATAGAAGAGACAGCCGCCAAAGCTGAGGCACTTCAACAAACAATTCTGAAGTGATACAACTCAGCTGATGATCTGGAGTATGACCCACTGAATGATGAGCACTGGAGCGGCATGGGGAACCTGCCCTGGAACCCCCAGATTGAGATGGAGGAGATGGAGCGCAACACCATTGAGGTACAGAGCACCTCCCCAGGCACGGATGGAATCACAGTGCGGATGCTCAAAGCATGCTGGCAGCATGTGTCCCTCTTTATACAGCAGCTATACAACTGCTGCCTCCGGCTCTGCCACTTCCCACGAGCCTGGAAACTGGCAGAGGTGGCAATGATACCCAAGGTGGGTAAGAGAGATAGAAGCTCAGTCCACTCCTGGAGGCCCATTGCCCTGCTTTCAGTAATCTCTAAAGGGCTAGAACGCATCATTGCAAGGCGACTGGTGTACACAGCACTCATTCACAGCATAGTCAGCTCACAGCATGGAGAGGCGCTGCTCAGATGATCTGCAATGAACCTGGTAGCTGCTTTCACTCATGAGATGGAGGCAGCCTTCGCACAAAACAAGGAAGTGTTCATGGTCACAATGAATGTGCAGGGTGCCTTTGATGCTGTGCTGCGCAGGCAGCTGCTTCAGCAGATGGCACAGCAGGGGTGGCCATGCAAGCGACTATAGCTCATTGACAGTTTCCTCACTGAACACAGAGCTCAGGTCCAGCTGGAGGGGACCATCACAGCAGCACATCAGATGCAATGTGGCACACCACAGAGGTCTCCTTTGTCACCAATACTGTTCCTTCTGTATCTGGCAGAGCTGCTGTGGCAAAACTCAGAATTGTGCTTTGACTATGCGGATGATCTGAACATCTGACAGGCGACCCACTCACTTGACAACAATGCCACCCTTCTCAGCCAGGATATACAGAGTATTCTGAGATGGGGGGAGACAAACAAGGTGGCCTTCGCACCAGAGAAACTTGAGATGATCCATCTTACAAGAAAGTGACACAATGAGGAACCAGCAGTAGTTGTGTCTGAGAACCTCACTGTTCACCCTGTTACTGCCTCAGCTGAACAGAAGCCAGCACTCTGCTGGCTGAATGTACACTTCAACAGAAGGCTCACCTGGAGACCACATGTCTCCACTCAGGCAAAGAAGGCAAGGGCTGTAGCTCAGCACATCCAGAATCTGAGAAAGATCAGAGACGGGCCCCCAGCAGATGCTCTGTGGAAGGCGGTCACCACTTGCGTGGTTCCCTCGCTGCTCTATGGCACAGAGGTCTGGTACAGCGGCTGCACACAGCCAGCAAGGCACATGGGCAGGAGTGGGGAGGTTAGCTCCCATCTGGGATGGCATGTGGGGACAGTTGAGAAGGTGCTTACTATGGCAGCCAGGGGGGTCCTCCCAGTTTTCCGCACAACGCCCATCGCTACCCTATACCGGGATGCTGGGCTCCCATCAGCAATGGTAGCTCTAGAGGAGGCCAAAATGCGATTCACAACAAGGCTTCAGGTGGTGGATGAGAAGCACCCACTGGCTTCACAGATAGCACCTCCAATGATCACATGAGGAAGAGGGGCTGGAACCTGGCAGCACTCAAAGATCAAGATTCAGCGGTTGAGGGCGCTGCTACCTGCAGTCAATAGACCCACACTTGCCATCCCACATTACTCAAAGGGATGCGGGACAGACCCCACATAGGGTGTAGACAAAAAGAGTGCTGCTCAGAATTTTAAAAATGGTGGAGAAGTCAACCCTCAACAGATCTATATGTTTTCTCAGATGGATCAAAACAGAACTGTGACAACAGCAGGTGGGTGGGCTATGACTTTATAGTCTATCAGAGAAATAAACAGCTGGCCAGCTTCTCAGCTGCGCTGAGCTCTATGTCACATGTCTTCGACACTGAGGCAGTTGGTGCCTGCCGGGCATTAGAGTGCGCCGTGAAGCTTCTATCTTATGTCACAGAGGACAGCAGCAACTCTCAGATCTGACTCTGCCTCGACAACACCTCAGTCATCTGAGGCATATGAGGCAGTGCAGCAGCCTTCTCAAACTGAGTCTACAACCACTGCTATGAGCTTCTCAGACAGCACAATGTCGGCCTGAAATGGGCTCCTGGGCATATGAGGATAGAGGGCAATGAGGAAGCAGACCGCTTGACTAAGCGGGCAGTCTCATCTGCTGCAGCCCCAGCCTATGGACTTGAGGCCACACCCACAGTCAGTGGGGTCCGCACAGTGGCCAAGCAGCTCAGTCAAGAGGCAAGGTGAAAGTGGTGGAGTGAAGTCTGTGGCAAGCTCTCTGACTGGTACTGAGGCTGGAGTTTCAGCAGGCTGACTGTGGAATATTAAGTAAAGGCCTCCTCAAAGCTCATTATGTCACAGCATGCTTTTCACTGCTGACTTGCACTCTGCTCCTTTCATGGAGACTTCTTCTGATACCACAGATGTTTTCAGCATGCAGATGCAAGGCTCACCTGTGTCTGTGGACACAACAAGAGCCCAGAACATTTGATGCTCTGTTGACACTCACAGAGGCACCTTCTTCACTGACTCAAGAGATCAGCAGCACGGCCACACAACCGGGTGACAGCTGTTGCCTATCTAGGGTCTCTGACCCCTACAGACTTTGTAGAACTGCTGGACTGCACACAGTTCTACACACGGTACTGCACAAGGTAACACAGCCGGCTGGCTGCACACCATCTGACAACCCCCGCAGCAGTTCCACGAGGCCGGCCTGCTGAGTACACCCACGGTAGCTAGTGCAACTGCCAGGGACAACACAGTCTATGCAGACAGTACAGATAGCACAACTGAGCTCATCTGTTTCAATTAGCTGTGGTGTAATCAGTACAGTCTACATGTCTGACTCAGCTGAAATGTTCTTGACTGCCGGCATTGCATCTACACGTACTCTGCTTTGTTTTCCTCTCATTTGCCCTTGTCTCTATCAGCTCAAATGCTTCTTCTTTCTTCTTTTCTTTACTCTCTCTATCATTCTCTGCTCTTTTCCTTCCACAACCTTCTTCGGTGCTCTCCCCTCTCTTTTCCCCCGGGTCTGTGCCAGGTCACGTGACTGCAAGGTGTTGCAGATGACACAGTCTTTCCTTCACCTCTCTCTTTTACTCTTTTCATTTCAAAACACACACTTTCCCTCTCTTTCTTTCATTATCTATCTTATCTGTCTTTCTTCTGATGTTAGAAGCACAGACAGCTTCCTGATCAACTGAGAGAGATATCCCTCTCTGCTCACTATAAAGCCTTCCAGGCACGGTAGCGGCGGTCCCCTCAGGGAACCACACTATAACCCCACCATGAATGGCCATACGTCGGGCCAGAAGTGGATGCGCAGCTCAGAAAAATCCTTTGCAATGAGCTGAGTCTTCTCAAGAGTTGCCACCTGGATTCTGTTTTCTCTCTCTCTGTGTACATAGAAATCTCTCCAGCGTAGCACATCTCCATGCCCTTCAGGAGGCTTCTGAAACACGGGCGCTGCCCGTGTTTTCTCCGGGACGTTAAACCTATACATACATACATACATACATACATACTGAGTGGTCTGCAGCAATTATCAACAAAAGAGTGTCAATTATTTGAAGATTTTTACACCTATTGTTTCCACCTCCACATTCTGAGCTTTCATGACAATCTCAGCATTTTGAGGGTGACACATTCTGCAAATTGATATGATGACTGTGTTTTTGAACTCTCAATTGTCAGTTTATAAATGAATATATATGAGCCAGTCTATGAGCTTCTGTGAAGGTTGTGGTGATCTTGTTTGTGAATTAATGTAGAGACTCTACAGTCTTAAGCAAGCAACACTTTTATAATATAAGAAACTGTGAAAAATATTATTGAAATCGGATTTTCACATCAGTTTTTATGATGCTAAGCTATTCATTCATGATGCAAAGAGGGTTTATGTGACTGTATATATGAATGATGTTCATCTATACAGTCTGAAAATCGGAGATCTGGATTGAGCCAAGGCCGAGATTGCGGCCAATTACAAGATTAAAAATGTGGGGGATTCAAACTGTTATTTGAATATGAAAATTGAAAGGGATTCTAATTCACTTATGTTGTTCCAACCTCTTTTCATTAAGAATCTTCTGGAGGAATTCTTGATAAATTACTGCCACTCTACATCCACTTCTATGAGGGAGAATGTTGATTTCATAAATGATGATGAAGAACCGGTCATCTACACAGTGGAATTTACATTACATTTCTATCAATCAAATATTGAATCTTTGCAATATTTTACAATCAATACATATTCTGACCTTAGCTTTGCCGCGGGCTTTTTGAAGTGATTCAGTGCCCACTCTACTTCAAGGAATTGAGCTGCATTCAAACGTACACTTCAATATTTGCAAGGTTCAATTAATGAAGTTATAATCTTTCACAAAGACATTGATATTGAATCTGTGATATATGCTGATATTGATTGAGCTGGTAGAGATCTGAGATCTCAATCAATTACCAGCTACATCATTTATATGATAGAAGACCCCATTATTTGATGAAGTTATCAGTAAATAAAAATCTTCAAATTATCAATTATAACTGAATATATTGCATCTTCTGAAGTTATTTATGAGCTTGTCTACTTACATAAACTTTTAGAAGATGCTGACTTCATACCTTCTCATTTCAATAATCTGAACATCAACAATCATCTGATTTCCACCTCAGTCAATGATTTTGTTTATACAATTTATATTGATAATAAATTTGTCATAGAGCTATTCTCTTCTAAAGCAATTCTGTACTGTTTCAAGCATATAGAAGTCTGATTTCATATTCTTCAAAATCTCATTTACAAGAATGAAATATTAGTCTGATATGTTTTTTTTACTGAGAATAGGGCAGATGAGTTAACTAAGCCATTTGAAGCATTAAAATGCACACATTGAAAAGAGATTATTAAGATGAAGAAATAAAGAGGATAAAATAAATGGAATTCTGTGCTGATTTTTTCATTATTGTATTTTTTCCAGCTGTTTATGTATTTATACTCATTTGAAGAGTAAATTTTGTATATAATATTATATAAAGTTACTCTGATGAATAAGGGTGTGAGATCTACAGGTCTTGATTTATTAATTCTTTCATTATATAACTTCTCATTTAACTAGCAATCTTCAATCAAGCAAGCTTTACACCTTCCACAGATTGATAGACGGACTTTGATATTGTGATATCATCATTCACATCTTGTAAATCAGCTTTGTGAGATAAAGCTATGTTTTCAATAGATTTAAATCATCAAATAGTTCCTTCCAATATTCTTCAAATCTTGCATTGAAATTGAAAGAATTCTCATTATTTTGTTGATATAATGAGTTGAACTGCTGCATCACTATGAAGATGCAGTTATGATGGTCTTCAATTTGATTCAGAAGGAAGTTCTTAAATTCTTCTCATATCATAACAGCATTGTTACACTCAAGCTTCTTGTAATAGACGAAACAGAGATATCTATATTAGAAAACAAACACGTGGCGATAAAAAGGCATGAAACAATTGTAGTGTGGTGGCAACATTGTTTATATAATGTTCGCTGATATCCGTAGATCTTAGGAGATCAGCGAGCATTATATAGATAATATTGCCATCGCCACGTATCTATCGCCACGTATCTATAGATATCTCCGTTGCGCCTATTACACCATCTCTTACACTCCCTTTTCTTGATCACTCATGTAGTTGCAGAGGTGCCTTTAAGGAGGCTCGCAGTGTATATGACTCATATCTCATAGGTATTAAACTGAGTCAAATTAAGACAGAATTTCTATTCAAAAGCTCTTGTGAAGCTGTGGAATTCAAACAATGTCTTATTCTTGTAATTCAGCAGATCTTCAACCTTGATCTCTTTATCTCTATGATAGATATAGAAGTGTAGAGGCCACAGTGATGGCAGAGTGATTGAAGAGTCCATGTCAAAATGCACAGCAGGTTCAGAAATCTCAGATTTCTGCTGAGGTAGAGGTGTACACACTCTAGAGGATGATGTGGAGGCTCCCTCAGAGGGTGCAGTCAGATCGGTCCCAGCATAGATGTGTGAGACCATATTGATCAATAGAGCTTGACTGATCCAAATATGTAACCAGGTCGAGCGATTTGAATTGTAATGTGACGGCGCCGAGGCGGTTGCTACTCAGCAGCGGCACAGAGGAGGATGATATATAATGAGAAGTTTTATGAATGAGCTTGATTATCTCACTTGAACCACAAGCTTATAGAATACTATACAAATACTGAATTATCAGAGATACTCAGCACACTAAGAATATTGTATGAGAATAATGATAACTTTAATATTTTATTGATAAAAGATAAATTATTGACTTCTGAAATAGAGAGCTAATATTTAGCTATTCTATATAGATAACAGACAGCCATTCTCCCTCCACTCTATAAATGAGAGTAGCTGAAGCAGCTCCACAGCGGTTGTAAGAGATGGGCTACAAGAGTAATTACAAGAGTAGTGTGAAGTACGCACAAAGGATATTAAGAAGGTAGCAATCTCTATTGTTCAAAGCTAATCGCTGATCTCCTCAAATCCACGGATATCAGCGAGCATTATATAGATAATATTGCCATCGCCACGTATCTATCGCCACGTATCTATCGCCACGTATCTATTTCCTAATATAGATATCTCCGTTGCTCCTATTACAATTATCTCCCTTCTTCAAAGGCCTGGTCCCCAGGGCTTCTTATTGTGCGAAGTTCGTAATATGTGCTGTGTGGTTGATATTGTATAAAGTTCGCAGGATAGGACCGAATTAATTGTTCGGGTTAATTCCGAAGCGTTGCTGACTCGGGAAAAACGTTGTTCCAGTTTCGGTGTTATCGCGGTCCAATCATGATTTAGGCACAACCCCTGAACCCCTTTCCTTTAACCTTTACACCACAAGTCGTATCCTAACGAGATCATCACCATCATCACTAACAACGATTTTTTTTTTATTTAAAAGAATACACCAATTGATCAAGCAAAGTACACTGTATCTTCCCATGCGATTTTTATTGCGACATTCGAAGTTTTGGTTGCGTGGTTGCGTTTTCTATTTTGGGTCGGATTTTGTGTTGCTGCAACTTCTTTGATCGATATTGCAATATTGATTTTATCCACCAACATCTGTTCTTTTCTTGCTGCTTCTTGCCTCTTCTCTCTTCTTAAAAGGTCCTTGATACTGATTAATGTCGTAATAGAATGTCAGAACCAGCTGCTTCCGTTGCCGGTTCAGAACCTATGGAGGGTGATATGCTGAATGCCATCGAGAGCATTTGCTTGGGTTGTCTGGAAAGGTTGCAAAACCCTCTAGTATACCCTTGCTTTGTGAACGACGGGCGGACACGCTGTCACGCCTGCCATATATCGAATACTGGGCAAGGATCTTGGTGCGTTACTTGAGTTATCCGATAACGCTGGCGAAGATGAGGAAGCGGACGGTCCCGTTGAAGTGTTAGAAAGGAACGCAGCAGCATATTGCTGTCGTTGTATTCGACATTTAACAACGTCTCCCCGCCATCACTGTGAGCCTGCTGAGGGTCGACGCAAGAAATGCAAGCACTGCTCGGTGACGAAGCACGTTTGCGTTCCGGTAAGTAATCGTTCTATATATGTTTTGCAGGATATAAAATAACTCGTGTTTGGTGCCAGCAGACGCCGTTGAGTTGGCCCAGGCGGCTATTAACGCAGCTGAGGATTTAATTGTCGCTGGTGCAGACGCTTCGAACGTTAACGTTTTACAGGGCGCTGTGACAGCTGCAGTTAAGTTCTTCGCAGCGAAGATCCGTGGGGCTCAACGAAATGGTTCCCCTGAGGCCCCGGCTGAAACAGTGATTGGTGAGATCCCGGTGGCTACATCGCCGGTCGCAGCTCCCAAGTCATCGTTGAAACGTCGTGCTTCGCCAGTTGAGGAAATCCGGGGTAATAAGCAGGTCTGCCTTGGTGACAATTCCTCAAATGACACTGGCCAAGCTGAGGCGGATCTGTTTTTTAATCCCTGGGCGGAATAAGTATATCCAGCAGTCATCGTCGCCTTCTTCGTTTTCGTTTACTGACTGGCTCCTGATAGGTTTTATTAAACTGTTCCAAGTGCTCCTGGCTGTTCACCAAATTTTCTTCAGGTTCCCAAGAATTATCCGCGTCTGTGCAATCCTTCCATTTAACAAGATATTGCGTTTGACCACGGTACTGACGTTTATCCAATATAGCTTCAACTTCCCATTCCTCCTGCGCGTCTATAATTATCGGTTCTGGCTGTGGGATCTGTCCGTCGCGCGCGTGATACGGTTCGAGAAGGGAAACGTGGAACACGGGATGAATTCCTTTATATTGTGGCGTAAGCTTCAGTTTGTACGCCTGCGTACCGCGTATATCAATTATTTGGAAGGGACCCAAAAATCGATGATCTAGTTTGGGTGAAGGTCGCAAGGTGGATATATTTTTTGCACGCAGCATTACCCAGTCCCCTATCTTAAAGCTTTTTGGTATATGGCGCTGATCATAATACTTTTTCTCAGCTGCTTTGGCAGCTTCTAGGCATTCTCGAATCCTGTTTTCCGCTTGCTTCATCCGTTCCACTTGTTCTATCGCCGACTTTGACGCGCCCGTGCTTGGGGGTTCCACGTCTATACGAAGTTCAGTTGGTCGGCCGATCATCGCTTCAGATGGTGTCATTTTTATCGATGCGTGGAAGGCGTTATTATATGCCCATTGCGCCAGGGGAATCCACTCTATCCAGTTATCCTGCTGGTAGCTGCAATATGTGCGAAGATAATGTTCAATCACCTGGTTCAATCGTTCCGTTTGGCCGTCGGTTTGCGGATGGAAGGCTGTTGATAATTTTCGTCGGACATGGAGTAAGTAACATAATGTTGACCAGAACTTGCTGTTTATTAATGAATCTCGGTCGCTAATAATGTTCGCAGGTAGGCCAAAGTTCTTCGCAAGCTTCCATACAATAATGTCCGCGAGTCTTTCCGCATCTAGCTTTGAAGATGTGGGTACAATTATGGCCCATTTAGTGAACGAATCAACAAATATGACAATAGCATTGTAAGTTTGACTTCCCTTCTTATTATCTGGTAGGCCTTCAATAAAGTCCATACTGATTGTATGCCATTTCTTATCTGGCACTGGATGTGGTTGTAGCAACCCGTACGGCTTATGCCGCGGTATCTTGACGCGTTGGCAAACATCGCAGGTCCTCACATATTCTGCAATCTCATCGCTCATACCATGCCACGAGTACTTGCGTTTGATCGCTTCGATGGTTTTGTCACGTCCAAAATGGCCACCTTGGGGATCATCGTGGTTCATTTTCATTATTTCATGCCTTACGGCCTTGTCTTGCGGTACGTAGACTTTACCATCTTTCCTAAGCAGGCCATCTTTGTCTACTGCCCAGGTCGAACGATCACCTACGCTAGCGTCACCCACCTCTAGTCTTCTGCGAAGTTCAGACGTGCCAGCGTCCCTATTCTGAACCTGCAGCAAGAGTTCGACAATAGATTCAGCTACCTCTTCGCGATAGGCTGTCTCGGACTCAAATACCTTAACGGCTAGAATCCGTGGCACCAGGGTCCCTAGGTCTAACCCCGTAACGCCGGCGACTTCGTTCTCATCTGCAGGTGCGTTCTTTATCCTGCAGGGTTTGTTGTCATCGATGACTACGGGCCCCTTCGCCCAACAATTTTCTTTAACTTGCAGATTTTTTCGCACCATCTTGACACATTGGTCTAACTTTGTGTTTTCTTTTGTCTTTAGTGACTTAAAGATCCCCTTACGCAGCTTCTCTTGCAGGGTAGGGAGCCCCGTCAAGGGAGCTGCGTGTTTTATATAATCTGAGTGACGACTTGGTGCATCTGCGGGATTATTTTCCCCAGGATGGTGCTCAATTTCAAAATCGAACGCTGAGAGCATTTGCATCCAACGAATCTGACGCCCATTTAGCTGCTTCGTCGTCATGAAGCGCCGGAGGTTGGCATGGTCAGATAAAACAACTATTGGGGTGCCTGCTACCATGTAGGTAGTGGCGCCATTGCCTGAAAGCTTCTACAATCGGCAACATTTCTAAATCATATGTTTGATAACGTCTTTCTGCTTCTGTGAGTTTTCTGGACCAAAACGCGATCGGGTGCCAGTGACCATCATCCATTAATTGCGATATTACTGCGGCGATTGCAACGCCAGATCCGTCCGTTTCTATACGGAGTTTTCGCTGCGGATCAAAATGAACTAACAACGGTGCTTTTGTAAAGCATTCTTTTAACTGCAGTATTGCGTGCTTGCAGTTCTCGCCCAGTTGGACAGGTGCGTTGTTCTTCCCCTTTTTTGTTTCGTATCCTTTTAGCAACTCAGTCAGGGGTGCCGTTATTATCGAGAACTTGTATATGAATCGTCGGTAGAAGTTGACGAATCCTAGGAATGTTTGCAGCTCGTTTATTGTTCGCGGTTCAGGCCAATTTAGGATCGTATCGACGCGGCGTTTTTCGACAGTGATGCCCTGCGTGGTAATCACAAAACCCAGAAATCCAATTTCTGTTGCATGGAACGTACACTTACTAAGTTTCACATATAGTCTCCATCGCCTTAAACGTTCCAGCACATTCTTAACATGGGCGACGTGTTCGTCAAGCGTATTCGAATAGATTACGATATCGTCAAGATAAGCCACGCAATATACATCCAAAATATCACTGAGGGCTTTGTTGATATAAGATTGGAAAGTCGCAGGGGCGTTGGTTAGCCCAAAGGGTAAAACCAGATACTCAAAGTGTCCGTATCGTGTTCGAAACGCCGTTTTCCACTCATCCCCCGCTCGTATGCGAATTCTATGATACGCGTCCCTAAGATCCAATTGCGTGTATATTTTGGCACCTGCTAATCTATCGAGTATTTCACTTATCAGGGGCAGCGGATACCGATTCTTGACTGTTATTTCGTTCAACCCTCGATAATCTACGCAAAGACGCAGGGTTCCGTCTTTCTTCGGTGCGAATAATACTGGGGCACCGGCTGGGCTCTTGGACGGGCGTATCCAATTCTTCTCTAATGCCTTTTCGATATATTCTCGGAGGACGGAGAGTTCTTGAGGTGACAGGTTATATATCGGTCGGTACGGTGGTTCCTTGCCAGGTTTGAGATCTATGGCATGATCGTGGGGTGCGTGTTCCGCGTCAGGTATATCTTCTCGGAATACATCAAGATAATCCTTATAATCATCCGGGATATTTGGCTCAGTCGCTGCATGCGCAGCTCGCAATGGAAAGGCGGCGAATATAATGTTGCTGTCGTCCATTAAAGTTGCAAATTCCTTAGCGGTATCTAGGTGCACGTGGCTGATATTTGACGCTTTCCTATAGGTCCAGCATCTTCGCACCCAGTCAATGTCGGGGTTCGCAGCTTGCAACCATGGCATACCCAGAATTACATCGTATCCGCTGATGTCGGCTTCTTCGAAATGGTGGAATCCTTCCCGGAGGACATGTTCATCATCGATAATCTTCATTGCAGCTTTTCGTTGTCCATATGATTTAACCCTATGATTATCAACTGCTTCCACTACTTTCGGTTTACCTTCTGACTTCGAGAAATATTTCGATGCCCAAGCATGGGACACGAAGTTCGCATCCGCGCCAGAATCTACTAACGTCCACGCCATTGACCATCCCACTTCTGTCAACATCCAGGTGTTCATTGCCAATAAGTGTTTATCTCGCAGCCTAGTCGTCTGTATTCCCAATGCAGCAGCTGCTCCTACGATTGGGATTGCTAGTTTTTTGCTTGTCGGACTTGGTTGCGCTTTTCGGGGTATAACATCCAACAATCGTTTGCGACATGCCCCTTCTTATGGCAGTGTGAGCACTCCTTCATCCAATTATATTTATCCTTCTTGGTTTGTTCAGTTAAACTCGTCTGTTCCTCTCGTTTCCTTTTATTCCGGCGGTTGCTAGATTTATCAGAACGACGCTGATTCCCTACGAATATCGCAGGTCTGCCTTTGCGAATGGCGCGTCGTCGCTCCGGCATATTTTCCTCGAGAGTCTGTAGAGTTCGAAGCAACTCTTCGTAGTTCTGGGGTTCTTGATTTCGACGGTCGAGTTCGGTGCGTAGCACCTTCAATGCCTTACTACGCAGGTTATCCATTCTCTGTTCCTCGCTGTATGGGGGTAAGTAATACTCCCAATCTTCGAGATATTTAGAAAAGTCGCGTATCGACTGCCACTCCTGTTGCTTAGCATCCTGGAATCTTTGGCTCGCCAATCGACGCTGATTCTGCGGGTCGTTAATTTGCATCTCTAGGTGTGATAGCATATCATCGAATGTTAACGGTGTTGCTCCTCCGCGTCTCTCGTATGCTGATACAAAATTCAACCACTTCTGCTTAACGTGGGCATCAAGGTAGAGTTTGGCGTCGTTTATCTTGCGTTCTTCTTTTCGATAATATCGACGGTGGCGTGCAAAGAGAGTCAACATGCGATCTTTATAGTCCTCAAATTCTAACATATTCTTTCCTCGATAGTAATCCTTAATCTCCAATCTCGGCGGTGTTTCGTTATCATCATCCATATTGTCTGCGGGTCGATTTTGCGGTAGTTCTGCGGCGATATCCTGGGTTGGTCGGGACTCGATAAAAGTATCTTCGCGAATCTGTGCTTCCAACTCGTTGAGGCGTTGTTGCGCGTGCAGAATAGCTAACTGTTGCTCTCGTTCACGGATTTGATCGTTTAACTGTTGCAATCGGGCATTGTGGTCGTTGGAGGTGGTAGAGGATTCGGGCTGATTCTCAAGGGATCTTGCGCGTGTCGAAACCATCTTGCGTGTTTTAAGTTGCGTGTTTTAACTAACGTTGCGTGTTTTGTTGTAGGTGTGCGTAACAACGGACCACTCAAATAAGGTTTAGAGCGATTAGAATTGTAAGAGATGGGCTACAAGAGTAATTACAAGAGTAGTGTGAAGTACGCACAAAGGATATTAAGAAGGTAGCAATCTCTATTGTTCAAAGCTAATCGCTGATCTCCTCAAATCCACGGATATCAGCGAGCATTATATAGATAATATTGCCATCGCCACGTATCTATCGCCACGTATCTATCGCCACGTATCTATTTCCTAATATAGATATCTCCGTTGCTCCTATTACAGCGGTGCTACATAGATCTGTCAGAAGGAATCTACTGACCTCATATAGAAACAAAATTCTCATATCCCATCAATCAGATCCTTTTATATTGCATTTAAATGATGTTATAAAGTGGTTGGAAACCGGTTCAGACATCTGTGTGATGTCATGGGATAGATGGGATTATCTGAAGGGAAGTGATGAGCCGTGCGGAGCCGCCATGAGACCTTGGCACAATCAAGAGTATGATAGAAAAAGAAATGCTTTTTGCTTCTCTACATACAATCTCTAACAATCAAAAAACCCATCAATTCTACCTCATTAAGAAATTAATGACAATGTGTATACAAGTTATCTAAGGGATGTGAAGCACTCTATACAAATCGCTGAGAGCAGCTCTTACAAAAAAGAGGGGCAATTGTAATGCACTCATTTATTGTTTTCTTATTATATTATGTTTGTTTATTCTTACCTCTTTCCATTATATTCTTGCTACCATTATTTCTATATGTATATATATATAAATGTATATATTTTGCACATCTTCTTTTCTCTCTCTTTTCCTTCTCAGTGATTAGCTACAATTACTACATAATGAATCCAACTTTGAAGGCCACGGCGGCCGAAAGTGGCAGGCGGTTGGGCTGCTTCCGGCCGCCCATGCACCCCGAATTCGCACCCACACTAGCCGCCACTAGACCCAATCTGGAATCCACCCATCGCCGCTTTTTGGGATACCATTTGACGCCCGAGGCCGGGTCCACGGCCTCACCTTCTGCTCGCGCGACTGCTCGCGAATCGCTCACCCACTCACTCGCCCATTCGCCCAGCTGGAGCGCGCCGTTTCTGGCGCTCAACCCTTCAACCATGATGGCCGCCGGGATAGTCCTGGATTCCCCATTCTATAAATACCATAATGTCTCCCACCCCTCTCCCTCCTCCCTTTGCCTTCCGTTGCCGTTGGTTCCTCTGCAACTCATTATACCCAAGTCACCAGTCCCCCTCCTATCCGCCCCAACTCCCTTGCAGAGGGCTGGTCTACCCCGGCCTTCCTCCATAGAATCTCTTTTCTATCTACCTACGCATCAGCGACGGCCTCACGCGCCCACTGAACGTTATGCCAGTTGGGAGGCCCAAAGTGCCGAAAGCTGGCAGATCACGCACGGCGGGTCGCCTGGATTCACCCAGAAAGCTGAACTACAGAGCCATATTGGAACAACATGAGGCCGCTGGCCGCACATCCAGAATCTACGCCGCAAATTCTCAGAAAAGTGTGGGGACGGTCCGGCGGAAAGTTCAACGGTAAGTGTTGATCTCTGTAAGGAAATTGAATTTACCTTCTTACGGAGAAAAGCTTCTGCTATGCCGAACTGAAGACTACGGAAGAGGAATTCCTTGAGAATCTGACGGCGGGCCGAGTCAAGACATATTTTGATTGGGTCGAGGACACCCACCGGAACAGCATCAAGGCAGCATCGGCCTTTGACTCTTACTGGCGGGTCCTGAAGATCCTGTATGTGGAGCGCACTGGCCATGGCATGGACAGTGGGATGGAACAGGATTGTCTGAACGTAAGCTCATCCAAGTGACTGACGTTGCT